AAGTCAAACCAAATTCAAGCAAAAGAGGAATTGGTTAGCACTATGACTAAAAAGTTTAGGGGTATGGGAGTATGTTTAAACATGATTGGATTTAGATGCTCAGCCTGTGTCCTCCATGGTTTTTTTCTCTTTAATTTTCATCTTTACTTTTTTCTGGGTTAGCTTTGTTTTCTGCTGGCTATGATAAGAAAAACTTTTTTGGGAGATGGCTGATGAGATCTCCAAGGCTCAGGCCATCTGGCCTGGTAGCAAGATGCTCTTTGAGATCATTCACAAGGAAATCCCAGCCAATATGATACTGGTCATATTTGAGGATGACCAGTGTCTTGCTTTCCGTGACATTTCCTGTGAAGCATCAATGCATTTTCTGGTGATACCCAAGAAACTTATATCTCAGATTTCTGTAGCAGATGATGATGAAAGTCTTCTCAGACATTTAATGATTTTTGGGAAGAAATGTGCTGCTGATCTGGGCCTGAAGAAAGATTACTGAATGGTGGCAAATGAAGGTTCAGATGGGGGACAGACAGCCTGTCTATCATGATGAATTGGCCTCCTGGTTAAGCATGTTTTAGGGATAATTTTCCCTTCTCTAGGCAATGATCAATGTTTGCAAGTTCCGATATGTTAAATGGTATACTTATTTTTGCCTGTGTATGGAGAGATTGAGGAAATAATTTTTAAAACCCATGCATTATAATAAAAAACAATGTTGCATGATTTACAGTAAAAAAAAAAAAAGAATGCACTTCTCTTTGTCAATAGTTTTAATAGCTTTTTTTATTGTCTTTGCAACTGGTGTTCTCTGGAGAAGGACTTTCTTATCAATCCCTGAAAAGGACCTCTGAATAGGACTACTTCAATCCATGACTAATCCTAAATCAATCACTGAATCTAAGGATTGGGTACTCTGACCTACATGCAGTTTATGGTTAGTTTTATGACAGGAATGGTGAGGAAGTAAGGTGGATTTTTTTAAGCAAATCTGTTTTGAAAGGTGATGATTTTGTTTTTTTGAAAGAAGAGGATTGTTGTCTCTATCTACATCCTTCTCAAAGTGTGGAGGTGGGGAGCAGGGGGCATAAAGTGGGAAAGAAAAGGAAAAACAATTTTTAACATAATGACAATGTTATTGACATCCCCATCACCCACATTAGATTGTTATACTTTTTATATCTTGGAAGTCACAACAAGTAATTAATAATTATTGTTATTGAAGAGACTTCTTAAAGCGATCATTATTTCTTGCCTTCATTACTACAGTAGCTTCAATTACATATTTATTATAGTGTCACAAACTTTCAAGATTCTCTGCGTATACTAGGTGTTTTTTTTCTGGTCTTGCCTGTGCTCAGTTATGCAGCTGTATTCAGCTGGTGGCTAACCTGGACTGGAATGCCTCAGTCACATGTCTGGTGTCTCAGCTGGAATGGTTGGAACAGCTGGAGTGCTTTGGTTCTCTTCCACATGGCGTCTGTCCACATGGTCATTTTCATCTTCCAGGGCCTTTCTCTCTCTCTCTCTCTAGCAGAGTAGTCTGGACTTCTGTAAATAGTATTTGAGGTTTCAAGAGTGAAAACACAAGTTATGAGACCTCTTGTGTCCCCTTCCTCATCATCACAATGTCACTTCTATCACACTGTCAGAATAAGTCAAAAGACTGGTGTTGAATCACTGTGAAAGGGGGACTACAAGACAGTGTAAATGCAGGAAGGCAGGAATCATTTGAGACCATTTTGCAGTGGTCTACCAGAGCTTCATAGAGCATATAGCTTCCCTGCTTTTCCCTGCTTCCCCCAATCCTCAAATCTACTCTTAACGCAGGAGGTCATAGCATATCACTTATTTGCCTAAGCCAAAAGCCAAAGTCTTTGTATTGCTTACAGGACCCTAATGATCCTTGGTCAGATAGGGATTTATATTATATCTAAAACAAGAAATCCAAAGTAGGCAGGGTAGGACTTGTGTAGCAGTTTAGTAAAGCCGGCAGGGTCCCAGGACCTCTCTCTGCTTTGCCATCTTTAGTTTGTTGGGTTTTGTCCTATTTGTCCCGTATTGTCACATGAAGATGGCTCCTGCACCTTCAGGCTTTGGATCTGCAGTCTAAGCAAAATGAGAGAGAGGTTCACCCAAATCCTGGGTTGGCTTCTCATTGACAAAAATTGTCATATGGCTACTTCTAGCAGCTAGAAAGTCTAATGAAGTGACAATTTTATCTGTGTACTTTGTTGCATTTAGCAGAGTGGGAATTTTCTCAGTAAGGATAAAGGGAGGATGGATATTATGTAGGCATCCAGTACTATCTGCTTCAGTGCTGTGTGCCAGGAACTGCACTGTTACTATGAAAGCGTACTTCTTAGTCTTAGGCATATCTATTATGAGACTTAGAAATGATACAGTCAAGGTAGTTGCAATAATTGCATTTTCATGTGAGGAAATTGAAGCTTTAACATGGTTGCAGTATCAGAATTTGTACATCACCAGATTGACTCCAAATGCTTAGTTCTTGCCATCATACTATATTCCAGCTGAGCTTTCTGTTAAACACATGCACATGCGCGCGTGCGCACACACACACACACACACACCCACCCACACCATGGCCTATTACATTTGTGTAAAGCTATGTTGCTTCTTCAGAGTATGTTTTTCATGTCTGTCTACCTTAATAAATTGAATATCTGAAAGAAAAGTAGACTGTGCTATTTTCCATTGCCTAGCATTCAGTGAACATTTTGAATAACTGTAGTTTTTTTAAAAACTGGAAGATAGGAAAGTCAAACATCATTTTGCAGATGAGCAAACAGGAACAGCGAGATGGGATAACCTGCTTGGGGTTGCATATAGCTAGTGACAGAGAGCTGGTGTTAGAACTGGTTTCTTGCTTCCAGTTGAGAGTATTCTCCCCTGAGACACAGATTGGATTAGGATGAAATTAGAGATGAGAAGTATGGCCTGCCACTATTCCTGATTTAAGGCACCTAATATCCATTAATTAATGCAAATTAGATCAAGGTGTAGTTCAAATATAAGGAAATGGATACTCCTAAGATCTCTAAGAAGGCAGTATGGAGTAAAAGAGCACCAAATTAGGAATCACAAGACTGGCATTGTGAACCCAGCCAGGTCACTGACTTTTCTTTGTGACCTTAGGCAAATTGCTTAGCTGCTTTGAACCTGCTTTCCTCAAAACTAAAAGGAAATTAGGCTACTTGATTTTTGAAGTTCCTTCTAGCTAAAACATTGTATGAGCCGTTGTACCCAGTGACTTTTTTGGGTGCTCTAGCATTTCTTGGCATCTATCAGGTCAGACTGTTTTATATTTCTATAGTGTAGGGAAAGTAACAGCTTTTTCACTTCTTCTCTGGGAACTTGGCCAGTGAGGAGTAAACATCCTTTCGTATCTCTCCCTAAATGAAGTATTTGATCATAAGTGACAGACTTTTTCATTTTGTTCTTTGAATCTGATCTGGTTCTATTTTAAGTTTTCTTAACTTTACTGGAAGTTTGTTAAAATGTAGTAAATTGAAAATATCAGGGTGCCCGGGCAGCTCAGTAGGTTGAGTGACTCTTGATTTTGGCTTAGGTCATGATCTCTGTTTTGAGTTCGAGCCCCACATTGGTCTGTGCACTGTCAGCGCAGAAACTGTCTCTTTGTACCTCTCCCGCATGCACATGCACACTCTCTTTCTCAAAAATAAATAAACATTAGAAAAGAAAGGAAAATACCAATTTATGTTTTAGTCTACAGATCAAAATTTTATTTTATGAAGTAAAAATAGTTGTATTTATTAAATACATATTAACACATCTGTGTATTTGAAATACTTTATTTACACATGGTATGGTCTAGAGTGGAATGTGTAGTCTTACCCTTTACAGTAGAATTTTACTGACTCAAAATAACCTCGTTAAATAGCAAATATACTGTAGACTATACAATACTGGTGGTATTTGTCTCTCTCTGTCTCTCAATAATAAATAAACGTTAAAAAAAGATAAAAGCTCAAAATCTTATAGAAGTTTGATGGGTTGGGGGGGCCTTTGTTGTCACTAAGGAAAAGACGTCTGTTGCTCTAATTGTCATTCATTTGTTGATAAAACGCCTTTTCTCTGTTTACTTTTCATTCAGTTATCTTCATGCAGTACTTCTTCCTCATTTTCCATATTCTCATTTTGGAGCTCTTACTAGATGGATCTTGGATCTTCTCATTTTTATCTTCCATGCTTTTTTAATTTCTCATATCTGTGTGTGATGAATCAGAAATTTCCTAAGTTTTCTGTCTGCCAGTATACTAACTCATTATCTTGGTTCAATCCGCTATTTATGTATCTACTGAGATTTTAACTTATTTTGATTCCTTTGAAATCCATGTAATTTTTACTTTTCATTTCCTACTCAATGAGGTCTCTATTATTTCCTTTATGTAGCCACTTGAAACCTGCTTACCTAAAAATAATTTCGATTGTTCTATAAATCCTGAGGGTATTAATTTCACTGATAGTTTCCTTGTGTTTGGATTTGATTCATCTGTTTGAATGACTGCATTAAGGATATGGATGATATAAAATATAAAGTAGGTAGAATTAACCATGAAACACATGAAATATTTTTTTAACAAGTATTTTGTGATGGTGAATTTAGATTGATAGTAACATAAATAGGGCATGAAAAAGAAAGACAAAGGCAAAATAATATAAACAGCAAAGTGTTAGATTAATTTGACTAGCATGGAGTGGCTAGCTTATGATTTCAGTGATAAAAGATATGAGAATTATGAGGTTTCTTTCATGTATAGATTGGTGGAGCATCAAGAGTACTTTTACGAGTTTAATTTTATGCTTAAGATTAGTTCATTTTTTTCCTTTTAAAAATCTTTTATCTGCATACTTTCTGAGTATATTAATGAATTTTTAAGAGAGTTTGTGATTAGAGGTTGCATCTAACTGTGTTTTGAAAAGATGAAAAAAGATATCTATTGTTTAATTTTGGGGTAAGCATGAAATTTTACAGAGTAGAAAACAGTTGTGAATGGAGGATGAAAGTGGTAAGCTTGTAAACGTAAATTAATATAATGTAGATAGTAGAGACAGTTATTACTGCCTATAGAAGAACCTACTGAGACCAAGATTATCACTGAAGATTTTCACTGGTTAAATATTTATTTTCTGAGGCTAATTTATTTTACTTGTGTCAGGAATATTATTTCATCGCCTAGTACTGATTCTGACATTTATAATTATTTTATTATTTTTTTAGGATAGGGACATAATTTAATAGATAAAATATCTCACATGTTCCAAATGCAAGAAAATTCTATTTTTCAGGAAATTTCACAGTGTATTGCAACTAAAATTTTTAGGAAAGTAGTAATAGAAAGTACTATAACCTTTCTTATCTACTGTCAGAGGACTTTTGGTTATCTTAAATTATTGATTATATTGTAGACATCTCTTACACTCCTTTTCAAAAAATATTTAAGCCATGTCACAACAAAAGATGGGAGTGAAATATGGTTACTAAAAATTTAGTGCTATGCAAAAAGGAAGAGGAAACAAACATGCTAACCACATATGGTCTGTATCGAATTTTAGCTAATGTAGTTGCTGTGGTTGAATATCAATTTTGCCTTTGAGTTTCCTGGAATATAAGTAGTTCTCCTTATCAGAAGGAGGAAAGCCTGAGTTCCTCAGCAGTGACAGTTCCTGACTTCTATAAGAAAAATATTAAATAATGGACAAATCATTAAGAAAACAAAACAGAACTACTCTGCCAGGTTTAAGCCTGCCTTCAAATTGATCATAGTCTTTGGGGTGGTGAGGAGAGGCATTTAATCTAAATTCTAAGAGGGTATAGGCAGGAAATTCTTTTCCATGAAGAATTGTGATCTACTTTGATAGAAAGTAAAAGTTAGCAGAGAAAGGACTAGGAAGAAATGGTTGATTTCTGCAGGAAAGGTGATACTTTCCAAAGGTGCAGCATGCATTAGTAGCTGAGCCAAGATAGTTTGTGTCCAGCAGTAAATTCTGTAGTTTGATAGAATTGGAATTTAGGGAGAAAATTGAAAAGAAATGAGTTGAAGTAGGCAAAAGGCCTTCAAGGATTCACATCAAATATTAATGCCATTTTCGTGTAACAGTATTTTTTAACAGCCTTTATATTTTACTACCACAGTTCCCAAACTGTGCAACAAGGCTCTCTGGGGTGCCTCAGCAGACTCTCAGGATGTTGCAGTGTATTTTAAAATTTCCGGGGAAACACAGTGACACCATTTGTTGAGTATCATGTGAACTAACTGGACTCAGGTTTCAATATTAGATTTATCTACATTCCCTTTATGGAGGAACAGGAAATGAGGCTGGGAGTGTCCAATCTGAATTCAAGGGTTGAGAAATTGTGAAGGTACCCAATTGTCAGACACAGTCCATTAATAAGTGTGGTTATTAAAGAAAGAAAAAAAAAAGAGTAACGTTTTCTTTCAACTTGTGTTATTTCTTTTTTTTTTTAATTTTTTTTTTCAACGTTTATTTATTTTTGGGACAGAGAGAGACAGAGCATGAACGGGGGAGGGGCAGAGAGAGAGGGAGACACAGAATCGGAAACAGGCTCCAGGCTCTGAGCCATCAGCCCAGAGCCCGACGCGGGGCTCGAACTCCCAGACCGCGAGATCGTGACCTGGCTGAAGTCAGACGCTTAACCGACTGCGCCACCCAGGCACCCCTCAACTGGTGTTATTTCAATCAGCTACTAAGTTATCATAATTTAACTATTTATTAAGTAATTAGGATCTTAGTACTTAGTAAACAGAATTGTTACATATTTCTCTTGGCCTGTGGGGCATATGGTAAAAATTACTGATGCACTAAGGTCACCATGAGCCAAGAAACTTAGGGAGTCTCTAGCTTAGTACATAATATTAAAGCACAAATTTGTGAAAGCAGTTCATATTTTCTAAGTCTGTGAGGATAGAAATAAAAATATCTACAGAAATGAAGTTAGCTTAAACTTTTTCATCTGAGCATTGTTTGCCTCAATCCACTTCACCTGAATCTAGACAGCAGAAATTTGGCATTTTATTTTTTAACAGTAGTAATATGCTATTGTTTTTGATAACCAGCCAAAGGTAGATTCACAGCTTTGGAAACTGAATAAATGGATAATAGGACTTACATTCCATTATAAGTAGTGAAAAATGTAGACATTTTTTTTGACCCAGATACAAGATCATTCTGTATCCACATAGTTGAGGATCAGAAATTTATGGCCAATCAGGTATAGATCACTTATCCTAGGAATTTTTTTTTTTTTAAGTTTATTTATTTATTTTGAGAGAAAGATAAAGAGCTAGCAGGGGAGGGGCAGAGAGAGAGGGAGACAGAATCCCAAGCAGGCTCCACGCCATCAATGCAGAGACAGATGCAGGGCTCAAACTCAACAACTGTGAGTAAGATCATGACCTGAGCCACAACCAAGAAAGAGTCGGACACTTAACCAACTGATCCACCCAGGTGCCCCTTATCCTAGGAATTCTTAATCTCAGATCCATGGAACCTGGAAATTATATATACAAACATGAAATTTTCTTTGTCCTACTGTTTTTTGTCAGAGTTCCAAAGCGGTTCTTGGACCTAAAAAGCTTAAGAACAGATTTATCAACTACATTCTTTGCATAGTATGCCCTTTGGCACAGGGTAATTTGGTCCAAAGCCAAGATCCCATATCTTCTCATATATTAACTCATTATTCTGCAAGATAACCTGGTTTTTAGAGGTTAAGAATTAGATGTAAAAAGTATTTTTACCTAGTAACTTAAATAGAACTTATTTATATGGTTATGATGAATTCTCAAAGAAATTAAGGAAAATTTTTTAATTAATTGCATCTGTTCAAAAGCTACATAAGGGTGCATAGTGAAATGTTTCTCATTTTTATAACCTTTTATAACCACGAACTCAATACCTCTTCCCCAAAGTAAACATTATCCCTAAGTTTTATGTTTCAGAAGTTGAAAATTTAAAAACCAGTTGTATTAGAGTAATGGAATTTAAAATAGCAAATGATATACAAATAGCTAGGGCATAACTTTGGTTTGTAGATTAGATGTACTTACCCAATCTGATTTTTACGTTAAGATGAATAACTGGTACTGTGTATTGTCTTAGCTTCTATCAGTAAGACATAATTGAGACATATTTTCTGGTAATGATGTTTTTATAGTCAATCACATTATCAATTGGGATAATTAGCCATGAAATATATAGAGTTCTGTATATAGTCTATCTGAATCCTGATGCATTTAATTCATTATCCAAAAAATGATCATAAGGATATAACTTTATTTTTGCCAATATTTGGTGTGTGTGTGTGTGTGTGTGTGTGTGTGTGTGTGTGTGTGTGTGTGTTAGAGCACATGTGCGTGCACGTACCAGCAGGGGAGAGGCAGAGAGAAAAGGAGAGAGAGAATCTCAAGCAGACTCCCCCCTCCCACCCCCCCACCACCAACCCCTCTGTGAGAGCCCTATGTGGGGCTTAACCTCACAACTGAAATCATCACGTGAGCTGAAATCAAGAGTTGGAAGCTTAACTGACTAAGCTACTCTGGTGCCCCCACTATTAGTTTTTTAAAGTTTTTTTTTTTTTTTTAAATAGAAGATCAAATAAAATTATATCTTACCTTTGGAATTTGATAATAATTTTTACTTATTGAGTGACTGTACAATGGGCCAAGAATTGTGCTTGAATCTACACATAAAATATTTTGTATTATCACAATAACCCTGAAAGGTGGCAATATTATGTAGATTTTACAGATGATTAAACTGAATATTTATTTGAAAGGTTAAATAACTTGCTCAAGGGGTGCCTGCGTGGCTCAGTCGATTAACGGTCCAACTCTTGATTTCTGCTCAGGTCATAATCTTGCAGTTCATGAGATCAGGCTTCGCCCTGACAGCGTGCAACCTGCTTGGGATTCTCTGTCTCCCTCTCTCTCTCTGCCTCTTCCCTGCTTGCTCAATCATTCTCTCTCTCTCTCTCTATCTCTCAAACTGAACATTAGAAAAAATAAAAAATAAATAAAGGTTTAAAAAAAGTAGCTTGCTCAAGGTTCATAGCGTAGGTGTTAGGGTCTAATTTGGGTTCATAGGATATCAGAAATCCACTGTCTTTATACAACCCTAAGATGCCTTTGTGTGTAGATGTGTTTATTTTAATATAAATTTGTCAGGTAATGCTATTTAGTGAGTCGGCAGAGTTTTTTAACAGGCTCTTATATGGCAATAATAAAGGTAACTAGTCTCTTGCTTACTAAGAAAAGAATTAAATGTAATTAGGTATAATGTATTTAATAAAGAATCACTGAATACACAGTTTTGTTCTTATGCTGCACATTTTACTGAGCAGCTAACTTTCCTAAACTATCACATTTGTATGTTTTTTATTTTTTTTGTTTTTTTCCTGTAGGGAGATTCCCGGAGTCTTCCATTTTCTGAGAATGTGAGTGCTGTTCAAAAATTAGACTTTTCAGATACAATGGTGCAACAGAAATTGGATGACATCAAGGATCGAATCAAGAGAGAAATAAGGAAAGAACTGAAAATCAAAGAAGGAGCTGAAAATCTGAGGAAAGTTACAACAGATAAAAAAAGTTTGGCTTATGTGGACAACATTTTGAAAAAATCAAATAAAAAATTAGAAGAACTGCATCACAAGCTACAGGAACTAAATGCACATATTGTTGTATCAGATCCAGAAGATGTTACAGGTATATATGTATTTTATTTGATGTTTTTATAGTACATTAATAAGCATATCATCTTTGAAATTAGTAAGCTTTGTGAAGCTATAGTTTTTAGTTTTTCTGGAAGTACAGGGACTGTATTTTCTCTGATAGTTAAAGTCTTGTTTATATTCTGTTCAGAAATACAGTGGCTTGATGGATATGAAAATTGAAACGTTTACTTAGAGATGAGTAACTTTGCTGTCTACTCTCTTACCCTCTGTCAGTAAGACATCACTTAGAGTTATTTTTCCAAGATTAATGTTTTGTACTGAGTCAACCACATGCTCTTACCTGATTCATCCTTGTGATCAGCAACACGAGTTTGCCAGATGACTTTTAAAGTTAAAAATGTATTCTGTGACCGAGGGATATTTTTATTCTTTGCAAACGTAATTAATCAAACCTATGACCTTTGTTCTTTGTGCTCGAAGCAACTGAATTAACAACTAAGCCAACAGGCATATCATTTGAAAAGGAAGAGGAAAATTTTAAAAACCAAACATTACTTTTTTTCCTTAAATATAGAAAATAAAAGGAAAATCTAACCCATAAGTTCAACCTAAGATTTTTAAACAGTGGAATTAACAAATGTTCATGTTGGAAATTTTTCAGTGGTACAGAAAGTAAAAACAGAAAACTAGCTCTCTCTACCCTAAGCTCTTTCCCTAAAAGGAGCATTACTTTTTGTTGTATATCCTTCCTGAAAAAAATTTCTATATTTGTATCAATATTTATCAATATATACATTCTTCCTAAAGCTTTATACATTAAAAAAATCATATAAGACACATTTGTCTAATAGTTTGTCTTTGCAGAGATGGTATTTTGAGCAAGGTTTGTAATCTCTGTAACCTTCAATGTATTCATTGGCAGAGAAAAGGAGTGGTATATATCTACAGTAATGTATCCAACTGCATAGAAATTTTAGAATTTATAATTCTCTGAGAATTTAGAATTATCTAAATTCATAGAATTTAGAATTTAGAATCTCTGAGATTAGTTAATAAGAAATAACAGATATAAGCAAAATTGAATTTGACTAGTACATGAATTTGACTAAGAACCTCAAATTACCAATCTAAAAAGTTGCATAAAATACTTCAGATATTCAGCGTACTTGATAAAACTTATTTTAATGTATCAGTTTCAACATCTAGGACTTTAGGAATTTCATTGGAGACTCTCTATGTAGAGATTTAAACCTTGTAAGAATAGTTGAATCTTAAAAATAACAGAAATCATAGAGAAACCAGTCTTCTTATTTTAGAATTGAAGTCATACCAATGATGTGAATTAATTTCCCCAGAATAACAAAGTTAGCTAAGAACTCTTCAACTCCTTATCTAATATTATTCTCTTACCCACACATTCAATAATTGTATATAAATGGACATTTATATTATGAAAATACTTTTCTTAGCAATATCATATAAACTTAGAAATAGCTTGTTCTGTTGGAACTCTGCCGAGCTCTGTATTTTTTGCCCATTAGACTGCTTTAGGAGAGGTCTAAAATAAGAAACAGCCCTGGCGCTTTAAACTCTGTTTATTTAGAGAAAACATTTTTTCCTCACAGAGTACTGATAACTACCTTGTAATTGGAATATTGAAGAGTTTTTGCCACATGAAGAATAGCCTATTTCGTTTTCCCAGTCCCTCTTAAAAAACTAACTCTACTGAAATATAAACTACATGTGATAAAATGCATAGTTTAAGTATATGATTTGATGAGTTTTAACAGATGTATGTACCTAGGTAACTGTCACTGCAACCAGTGGATCCTGAAGATTTCCATCACTTCATTGGTTGTCTTGTATACATTAATTCTCAATCTCTAGTCTGCATCCCTGGCTTTAATCAGCCACTATTATATCGTCTGTAACTTTAGGTTTGTCTTTCTTAGAGTTTCATATAAAGAAATGAGCTTTAGGTCCTACTGTCAAATTATTTTCCTTTCTCAGAAGCCAATTTGGTTATCGCTGTGAAACCTTCCCTGACTTTGAGTTTATTAAAAAAATTGTTCTTTGCAAATGGCGTATTCATACAATTTGGTAATAAGTTGTTTTTTTTTTCTTTTTCCATCATCACTTATTTAATAGCAGTAAAAAACAATAAAAAAGACAGGATTAAAAGTAGTTCAAAATTAAATTTAGGTCGGATTGCCATAAAATTTTCTGTGTTTTAAATTGCATATTGGGGCGCCTGGGTGGCTCAGTCGGTTAAGCGTCCGACTTCGGCTCAGGTCACGATCTCGCGATCCGTGAGTTCGAGCCCTGCATCGGGCTCTGGGCTGATGGCTCAGAGCCTGGAGCCTGCTTCTGATTCTGTGTCTCCCTCTCTCTCTGCTCCTCCCCCGTTCATGCTGTGTCTCTCTCTCTGTCTCAAAAATAAATAAACATTAAAAAAAAAAAAATTAAAAAAAAAATAAATTGCATATTAAGGTAAACAAAATCATTTACTTTAATTAGGTCTGACAGGAAGATTCAAGAATGTAGTTCTTTGCTTTCAGTCCTGTAAAGTATGTGGATTAATAACAAGTGTTTATTAATATTAATAACTCTCATCTTAGAGGTATGCAAGCCTAATGCTCAAAGAAAAGGGACATAATTTAAGTCTGCATTATATGAATAATTACTCTGTACCTAATTAGGCCCGCTCTCACTTTACTTCTGAAATAATTAACTCTTAATCTTTAGCTTTTTATTTGTAAAATAAGGAGTTTTATCAGATGAACTTCAAGACTTAACTATAAAACTTTCTGAAATATTGCATATTATAATATCAAGATCTGATCATTTGGGACTGCTATTGGTAAAATATATTGAGTGTTCATTTATTCTTAGGAATAGCAAGAAATTAATTTTTTTGATGTTTTCTTCAAGCCCATAACTGTTTACCTTTTGTATACTTTAAGATAGTCTCATTGGAACTAGCCCACATAGAAGTTATAAAGATACTATTAGATGAGGTTGAATGTACCTTAAGAAAAAGATTATTGGATCTCTGTCAAGTGGAGTGGTAATCTAAGTCTTAGTTGGCACCGGAGACTCCAAAAGGAAATATTTGGGAAAGAACCAGTATCTTGAATATTTCACTTTTGTGTATTATCCCTAGAGAAGATGATAAGAATGTATTTCATATTTTGTGAAGTATAGCTGGTAATTTGTATAGTATAAGCCCGTTTTCATCTTATTTCCTTTTCTTATACTTCTTCCCATTTCCATCTTCTCATACTTCACCAAACTTAGACTGATTTTTACCTATTAAAGTAATGGATATTTTCTTTAATATCTAGAAGATCCAGAAGGGAAATACTGATTTGGTATAGAACCAATAATGTTGGAGTTTTTTTAGAGTTAACTTTAGAAATTCCTCTAAATTCTGGAGATAATAACTATATTAAAGGAGTTTTCTTTCCAAATGAAGTTTATGAAGTGTTTCTTGAATAGAAGTAAAAATTTAATTTTTTTTTAATTCTTGACCTGTCTACCTAAGTATGGCATAGAAATTGTAATTGACTTTTATATGTGTTAAATATAAGTGTGAAATATGTAGCCTGATTTGTTATGTGATTCTACATATTTTTTATTTCTCACTGAATTTCTCATTTTGAGATAAACATACTTTGTATTAAATTTTGGATTCTTAAGGAAAGGGTTGCCATTGAGTAGTTAGCAAGTCACTTATAACACCCCTGGATTTCTTTCCTCATCTTTAAAATCATGAGATTACATGACTCATAGATTCCTAACCTTTGAATTCTTTAATGATACACTTAAAAAAAAAAAAAAAAACTAATACACA